AGAGAAAAGATGGATCACTCACGTCCTGGCTCTCCAGGCTCTCCTGGTTCTCCGGGAGGACCGCGTTCACAGTTTGGTGGTGGAGGACCACATTGGCATTGCTCTCCTGAAATATGGGCTGTTCACATGAAAACTGCAACCAAAGTAATAAAAATAGAAAGAATAAAGGATGAAATAAATCAATCATGGGTTTTTCGCAGATATACCTACCTCTGGCATTGATCTGACGTTTCGTTTTTTTGAGAAGAGTTTCGACTTTTGATGGCNGGGAACATTTCAGCCATACGTTCCATTCCGGGTATACCGGGTATTCCATCTGGGCCATTCTCGCCATCAGCTGAAATAATTTTATGATCAGAGAACGAATGCCCTTCTCAGTTCCCAAGAGAAAAGATGGATCACTCACGTCCTGGCTCTCCAGGCTCTCCTGGTTCTCCGGGAGGACCGCGTTCACAGTTTGGTGGTGGAGGACCGCACTGGCATTGCTCTCCTGAAATATGGGGTGTTCACATGAAAACTGCTACCAAAGTAATAAAAATAGAAGGAATAAAGGATGAAATAAATCATTTATGGGTTTATGAACTATTCGCAAATATGCCTACCTCTGGCATTGATCTGACGTTTCGTTTTTTTGAGAAGAGTTTCGACTTTTGATGGCAAGAAGGAGCGGGACGCTGGCACCATCTCGTGCCATGCATCTTCGGCTTTCTCCTGCAATCCGATTCTATAAAGAATGCTCGAAATACCAAACATTAAAAATAGGGGATAAATCATGTTATTGATTAGCACGTTGAATGCGCCACGCACTTCACCTCAATCGGAGAATGAGGAGGAGAATATTTCTCCAAACCGGAGGATGGAACTCCAACTACCTTATCCACGCATCCTACTATCAATGATGCTACTCAGGAAACATATAGCGCGATGTTGCTCATCAGGAATATGCCACGCCTTGAAATCCCTATGGAAAATGGAAACACCTCAGATGAAAGATATGGTCTTCAACTTTGTCGAATCATTCTCGACCTACATACAAACAGCTAGTTGACCAGAGAGTATAAATGCGGAAGACAGAAAGTCGAAAAAAGTGAACACTTTAGGTGACTGGTGATGTTGCGCGCCTCTACCTACTGCTCTAAACGCGGTTATCAAGTCATCAGTTTAATGTTATATATGGGCAAGACTGACCTTAAATTGTTCTAAATCCTTAGTGACTTCATCGGCAAAGTTATTGATGTCGTTTACAATGCCAACTATATAATATGCAGAGACTAAAATTGCTATACCGCATACTGTTGTTCCAGTGGCAATTACTGCGTTCATTGCCATTTTGAGAAGGGGAGCTAAAAAAGAGAATAATTAAGAAAGCAATACTCATCCAATATCAATGGAAAATGAAAAATTTCAGATGAAAGCAGATGTACAGGAAGCGAAGCTACACGATACTTTGTCCACTGAAAGGATACAAAATGTAAACTTTCTTCGCTTCTCCATCTCCCAAAAATGTCATCATGTTTCTCTGGGATGCAAAAAAGCTGTCCTGCCTGGACATAGCCTAGGGAAGCTTGTAATATTAAGTACGCATTAGCACAGCATCAAAAATCTGATTGGGAATCGAATGCATGGTGCGCGTTGGAAAAATGAATCGATGACAAAGGGGCTACTCTCTTATTCAACCAAAATTGGAAACTGGAAAGTCGGTGATAATGAAACGTCAGGAAGAGTTCTACGTCAACTGGTTTTATTTAGGTATAATCAGATCCAAACTTGATGAACCGCTCTGAGCGCCTATTATGTTTCACGGAGCCAAACGGGGAATTGGAGAAGTTTCATCACGGGGACATTAATAATTTGTTTATTGGGCAGATTTAAAAAATCAAATTTGCGGTAAATTAGGTCATTTTTGGAAGCTTTCTCATGAGTTAGTCTAGGGCTTTTTTGATTTGGACGAAAACAGAACCACCTGTGGAGCCTTAAGCCAGAAGCACCGATTAGCTGCGTCCAACTGGTAGTGCAGGAGGAGATGGCCTACTAGTAAGTGTTCGTAAGCCGTTTTATATGCCCCTTACGAAATAGATTGTATTTCGATAAAATCGCCATACTAATTAAGCAGATCGAAGCGATAGACAAGAACGATGAAAACCAGACCTTAAGAGTGACCAGTTGCCATATCAATCGAGTAAATCATAGCTGATTAACATGGATTTCCGTCACTATAAAAGCTAATCCATGGTTAATACAGTATCCAACGGAAGTGTTTGTGAGGATCCGGCCAGGATGTCAACAACTATGCTGACCTTCGTCATGACCAGTACGACTGCCTTTGTGGTGCTGGCGCAACTGGCTGCTATGTGGATGTTCGTCGATATGTCGACATTTGAGACGAATTTTATGACCCATATGATGGACTTCAAAGTATGTTATTGCTTTCCTTTCTATCAATATACGATTTCTTGTGATATCCATTCAATTATTACTTTTCATTGCTTCAGTGACATAATCCCAGCAAAACCGAAATAATTTAAAGAGAATAATAATTTTCTTCGAGAATATCACTGTTCGCAGAATAACCTATCATGTATGCGTGCGGCTGCGCTACGGCAACACTAATAGTGATGGGCCAGCTTTAAGAGAACCAGTGATGCGCCTCAGACCTTTCTGCTTTTCATTTGGTTAAATCGACTAGGCATGTTCTTGTAAGAATCATACCAAGGGCATCAAGACTATTGTATTATTTGCAACGGCGCAACGCGACCGCACGCAACGCATATGCGCAAGTCACACTGTGGTACACTAAAAAGAATATCTTATTGCATTTCGTCCTCGACTAGATAGTACTGGACTTCGATATTGAATCCATGAATCAGTGAAATAACTTATGATTTTAAAAAACTTAATTCATACATATATTCATAATAAAAGGTCCAACTATCAATATTTCTAATTCTTGAAACATTCAGGAAAAGTCGAATGATGTATGGCGAAAAATAGTAACTGACGACCAGCAGCGTTCTGTACGTTCTGCACATCACCAAATTCACCGCCGCAACCGCCAACAAGCGGCAAAAATCGTCGAAAGACGTAAGTTGTCTAATTTAATCAGTACATTAACTTTTTCCCTCACCTCGCTCCATTCCCTTTCAGGAACCCAATTTCCCTACACGGCTTCTTCTGACGAAAATGTACTCGGAGAATTTTCTAACGGTTAGTTCAAATCAAGTGGGTTACGGTTCGTAATCCCTGAAGAATATGTCTACAATTCAAAGAAATACGTTACAGCTTGTCCTCCGGGACCACCTGGCCCTCCTGGTGAACATGGTACTCACGGAGGTGAACAAATTATATCCTTAAGAGTTTCCAAATGCTTAGTATAGTTCCCTTATAGAGGATGGTCTTCCCGGACAAGACGGTCAACCGGGAATGAGCGCTGATGAAATGGGCTATAACACTGGACCGAAAGAATGTATCAAGGTTGGAAAGGCAACATACGATAACACTAAAAGAGTATAAATCGGTGATTCAGTGTCCTGCTGGAATGGAAGGTCCACCTGGACCAGATGGCCCACCAGGTCCCCCTGGACATCCAGGAAATGATGGCGAACCAGGTTCAGTCGGACAAGTGGGACCACCAGGACCCCCAGGACCACCCGGGGCACCTGGACCCTCGGGGCTTCCAGGTGTACCTGGAAATGACGGAGAAGCTGGTGCAGATGGAGTAAGACACTTGGTAGGACCTAGAGGACCACCAGGTCCACCTGGACCACCTGGAGTGCCTGGAACAGGTTAGTGATCAGGCAAAAAATACCCACATATTTCATAGAATTTAAACTTTTTTTCAGACGGTCATGCTTACGTACAACCTCCACCTGAATCGGGTCCACCCGGCCCACCTGGGCCTCCTGGAAAAAACGGCACACCCGGAGCGCCGGGAATACCGGGAGAACCTGGAGCAATCGGAGCACCTGGAAGAGACGCAGCATATTGTCCTTGTCCACCTAGAGCTGCATTCCCTCACCCTTATCAGGCTACTGACGGTGCCAGGGGAACAGCTTCTACTTTAGCCAAAGGTCCAGTAGAGACCGTATCATCTTCCGTCACTGGAACTGAAGGAGCTCGATCATCACTAACTGTCGGGATCAAAATAACCGATAAAGACTGGGAAGGGCCATTATCAGGAGGTGCTCCGAATGCTGCTGTCCGTGCGCCTTATCATCATGCCGATGCAACTGTAGGGAAGCCTCAAAGTACATATAGAAGTGAAGCCAGACAGGCGAGACCACCAGCAGCAGTGCCTTATAAGTCGCAAAATGCAGAAACAATCGCTGAGGTGACAGCGGTACAGAAAATCACCGGAAATGAGCCTAATGCTCAAGTGAAAGTGATGGAGGGTGTTTTGGGACCTGAGCCAAAGGTTGAAGTGAAAACAAATGTGGTACAGGATTCTTCTGGCAAAGATTCGAGGACAGTATTCGAAATAGTGGACACTTGGACAGTTGGCCCCCAGGTAGAGTCTTCAGTCTCAGAAAGTATAGCCCAGTTCCCTAGTGGGAACAAGAAGAACAAGGGCGCTACACTGAAAAGAGCTAGAGTTCATGGCAAAGGAATTCGTCGACGAAGACGGACTCACAGAAACAACCAAAACAGAAGAAAGCATTGAAAAAAAAACCATCTGATTCTTATTAACTTGTTTTCTTCGCAACTCCTCCTCGAATAAATACTTCCGTGATTATTATTGATTACATTAGTGATCTACAGAAAGAACACACAAATAAAAAAAAACTATTTTTACCGTACTATAATCTGACCACTGAATGGAAATTTCTTCGAAATGCAGACAAAAAAGTTTTACATAGAGTACACAGCAAATATTTGTATTGCACAGTGTACATAACCTTTCTATTACAGCATTAGCGAGCAATACTTTAGCAGAATATTTTTAACTCATGACGTTAACGAACATGCATGCAATATATGCGCATTGATTTTACGCGCACATAATCGATATTCGTCAAATGTACATGTATGCTCAAGATGCAGGTGAGACTGTTTCTCCGTACAGCTTACGAAACATCATGGAGGTAAGCATGCATTTTTTGGCACCTGCTAATTGGGTAGCGTTATTTCTATCCGAAGTTCCACGGGGCTTACCAGGGAAGGGTTTCAACTTCCCATGGAACTTTGAGTAGAGACCTAGGTAAATCGATAGGGCTTCGAAAGCTATTAACAAATATGGAAATTAAAACTGCTAAATGAATCTACCAAAAAAGTTGTGGGTGTTCAAAGTTTGCATGCTAAAGCAAGGAGACACAGTGCCAGTTGATATGCCCAGTTGCCCGCAATGACCTCGAGGGTCCCCGTGGCGTAGTGGCAGTGCTCTCCCTCTCCATGTGAGCGATGAAGGTTT